GCCCCTGGTGTCTCTTTGCTGGTTGTAAGATGCCGTGATTGGACCCACTGGAGCAAAGGCTGAAAAGTGAAACAATTCCCAGGTGGGTGCTGGGAGCCCATCACATGTCATAGCAATGTGGGTTATAATCAGCTCACAGCACAACAGCCAGTAAAAGGGATGTCATGCAGTGCTGTTAGTTTTCTTTTTAGATGTGTATGCAACGTATCACACAAACAAAAGTGCACACATGCCAAAGAAATATACACGTGCATGCATATAGTCACAAGGCGCTGGCACAATATTAACGCAAAGCACAAACAAGCACACACAAAAGATGTACACAAAATGAAGGCACAGAAACTGCACAAAATAAATGCAAATACACACGTTCGCAAAATAAAGGCACAATACACACACAAAATATAATACGTAAATACCCAAAACACATACACACGAACAAATCCACAAAGTACACAGCACACCATACACAAACAAAAACACACTCCATCTACACACCACACACACCTATATGCAATGCATAGTATGCATGCAAAACAATACTCAAACAACACACAAGACGCGCATGCACACAATTCTGGCACGGCAGATACAGAAATGCACGGGATACTCACGCACACGCATGCACACACAGGCACAGACACACAAACGTGCAGCACCCACACACACATTAATACAACAAATAGGTATATTCCCTCCCTACATCCCTTTACATTCCCATTCGCCACCCCAACTCCACAAAATAAATACTGATATTTACTGCATGCTTCTAGCAACGAAAGGGGGCTTCTTGTGATCCCTAGGCACTAGTACATATTATCAGCTTCAGGGATGGGAGGACACAAATCCAGATGAGGATTTCCCCAAAAGTTGTTTCAGGTAAGGACATGCCATGCCTAAAGCACATCTGACCACAGGACTGGTCATGCAAATGGCATCGTTCATCAGCTCACGTTCTCTAGCCGTGACGGCCCCCGGTGAATCCCAGACCAGTGCTGTTTTGCTCTTCGTGCCCCAAAATAAACCCTGGCTCCTCACATGCATCATACAATGGCCTCCTCTGCTCCCTAGTTCAGAAATCCTGTAATTAGCAGGAGATAGACCCTGCATCCCTGAAAACAATTTGCCACTAATAAATAATAAACAGGATGCAGTCCTGCAAAGAGGAGAGAAATGATTGAGACGCTCTGACCCGCCTTGTACTGCTTTCTGTGAAAGGAGAAATTGCATTAGCGGGACAAGCATTTAACCAAAGCTGGTATTTGTAATGGGATTTAGTGCAGTTTGCTGTGAATGAAAGACACAGTCAATATATCAGGCAGGGACAGAATAATGAAAGAGCAGAGCTTGCTAAGGGTATGGTCCTTGTAGACACTGAGCACCCTCCTGATCTAAACAGCTGTTTCCTATAGTATCCTTGCAGAACATCAAAAATATCCCCAATACAGGTCCACGCCAAGTCCTAGTGAAGTCAGTGGGGGGAGTCTTATTTACTTCAATTGCAATGAGATCCGGCCCTTAAGTAGAAAAGGTGAGATGGGACACCTCCTGTCTATGCTCTGCAGAATTGTAGGGGATGTGTTTAAAAAGAAAATCCTTCTATGGATATTAGTAGACATAGGCAGGGGAGAAATTTGACCCATAGCAGAGGAGTATTCACAACCTACTGCGTGACTTTGTCCCTGGAGGAGGAATTAAGTTTATCCTCTTTTACAACCCCCACCTTCCCAAATTGGGAAGCTCCTTTAAACTTTAGTTGCAAGCAACAGAAATAGGTTTGTAGGTTTGATTCCTCTCCCCTTCCCACCAGCCTCAAAAAAGATCCAAAAAACAACAAACATCCCTAACCCAGTTACCCACTCCTGCAAGGGGAAAAGGCAGCCCAAGGGCTGAGAGGGAGAGAGACTGCACTGGCTCCTTCCTTTCTGGCACGCAACTGAGCCTGTTTTACTTTTATACTCCTGGTAGAGAGAACATGAAGAGCTCAGGGAAGAAATTTCCCTTCTCTCTCTCCCAGGTGTTTTTAGCTGCAGACATGTGACCTGCCACTAGAGGGCAGCTAGAGAATCGCTACACTGGCGTTAATTTCTTCCCCTTGATTGTGTTCCTGGTTTTGTGGGCAGAAGTGTGGATTGATTAAAGTCTCTCCTTTATTAAAAAGCTTAGGAAGTAGCGCCTGGGAATCCTTTTGGGATCCAAGTCAGGCTGTAGCTTTCTGCTCTCAGTGATGAAGTGTGTTCATTTCAAATATACACCTGTGGGGTTGTAGCTTTAAGCACCAGGCAGCCATAGGACCTGGCCCTGCTCAATAAATAGCAGCCTTTGGCAGCTGCTCTTATTTTAGTGCTGAGTGGGGAATGTTCAGGAGCTCTTCCCCGAAGAGCTGGGAAGTCCTGTAGGTAGCTGTATTGTCTGTCTGTCTGTCTGTCTCCCATGACAGTGAGTAGAGTGGATTGAAAGTTTTAGCTGTTCTTGTATGTACCTTTCCCTTTTTATTTTAATTTGCTTTTCAGTTACTATGAGTGTCTCTCCAGATGTGATCGTTTTCTAAATCAGTCAAAGGACTTATCTAAAGAGTGTCCCTCTCCAACTCTGAGATCACCCCACTCAGACGCTTCCACATGCTATGCTATGCCATGGTATCTTTCCAGAGATATAACACAAGGCAACAGTACACCCCATGGCTTAAATCCCCATTGACAGCCATCTAGTTACTGGCAACCCACCAGTGTGGGTGGGAGGGCAGTACCTAACTCTGGTACAGGAGGGAAGTGACAGTGGCTAAGGAGAGGAATGGGGACTGTTTGTTTTTAACAAAATAGTTTTAATTTCTTTATTTACCCTAGAACAGCCCCCTCGTGGGATGCAATAGGTACTTCTGACAAATATGTTAAAGAAGTAGCAATGCCATGATGTGTAATATAACCACAAAATAACCACCCAAATCACCCTCCCTTCCCCTTCTTCTTCAGCTGCCCTCCACCATGGCCTGGAGGACAACAGGTTTGTTTAATTCAGGCCAAAAGGGGAAGCACTTTCTAAAGGAAAAGGGTCTGAGATTACTCTTCCAGCAGACCCTTCTCTTATAGTAAACTGGGGCCCAGATAGCATAATTACAGGGATCACACCTGCAGTGGTGTATGAGGAGTAAAAGGAGATCTCCCAGGTAGGAGGTGCCAAGACCTGTAGGCCTAGATTTCCAAATGCTCAGTCCACACAACTAGAGCTAAACTTTTTTTAATAGTGCTCAGTTAGTATAGGATGACAGAATGGGGGATACAGAACCGGGGGGGTTCAGTGCAGTGTGAGTGGGTTGTGGACTGTGGAAAGTGGGGTGCTTTAACTCTGTGTTTGGTCTCCCCAGCTGCTGGTTAATAATTCTTTGCACTTACATCGTTCTTTGTGGCCCAAGAATCTCAAAGTGCTTTACAAAGGCTAGTTATTATGCCTTATGTCAATTCTGTGAGGTTCCCGCCTTGTCATACATGGGGAAACTGAGGCACATAAGACACAAATCTTTGGTGGATGTTTTTCCTTTCCTTCATTCCAGCAGCATACAACTAATAATAAAATGCCCAAGTTCACCTAGCAAGTCAATGGCCAAGCTCAGACTAGACCCCAGGAGTCAGGATTGTCAGACCCTTTCTATGATTGCTGGATCACATTCCCTCATTAACTCCCTAGCTGCTCCCTGCATCTCAGAGCTGATAGTCTGCAGGAGATAGGAAGCTTATAGATACATAACTGTGGGTTGCAGGAGCGTTCAGGGGATTGGCAATGGGTTATTTATGGAGCCTGTTCACTGTTCAGTGGCCTGTATCAAATGAGGGCAGGAGATGCTGACCCCACCAGGCGAGCATCCTGACCAACTGTGTGGGGGCGTTAAGATAAAATGTAAAAGCAGCTTCAGCTCCCTCGAATCACACCTGCCCCCTTATGGGGGCAAGGTCTGAAACGCGGGCGCCGGAAGGCGGAGGTGAGCCAGGCAGGTTGTGGGGTGTCTGTGCCGGCTCCAGTTTCGGGTGCCTTTTAATGCTCTTTACAAACCGGCCCAGCCCCTGGGTTCGCCGCGTTTTCTCTGGAGTCGTTCGCTGGGGTGGGGACTGAGGTTCTCGGCAGCGCCGGGCGGGTCCCAGGCTGCGGCGGGTGGGTCTCGCTCAGCACCTGGCCGAATTCCCAGCCCCGCTTTCTCTTCGCTGGCCCCGCCGGGGGCGCGGGGAGGCCCGGGGCTCGGCCGGGGAAGGGTTAAGCCCAGGCACTGTATGTTAATGAGCTCCATGGTAATACAGGGAGGCAGGCTTTAGCAGCCAGCCAGCCTGCTGCTGATGGGGGATGAGCTTCCAGTGCCAGGCAGGAGCTGGGGGAAGGAGCCCCACAGTTCCTGGGAAATTCGGCTGGGAGAAAGAGGGAGAGGGGGAAACAGCTCCCCGCAGGAGGGGAGCGGGGAAGGGCAGGCAGCCCGGGGTGGCTCATGCCAGAGGGGGGCGAGGAGAGGGCTCGGTGGGCAAAGGCGAGGAATAAGGACAGTTTCGACACAGCAGTAATTGGGCAGCCAGCCGCACCGGGGTGCAGAGCAGCGGATCCCAGGAAGAGCAGGGAGCCTCCAGGAATACAGATCAGGAGCTGGGCACTTGCCGTGGATGTTAATGCATCGGGGGGCCGGGCGGATCGCCTCTCCCTAACTCCGAGGAGGCGCAGGGGGGCGGGAGGCTGTCCGCCCCCCAAGGAGACGGACAGGAGCGGACCTTGAGGTTTGGTAAGTCATCAAGCCGGGGCTGGCAAAGAGGGGCTTGTGCCTTCAACCTCCGCCTGCCCCCTTTTATTCTGCATGCATCTCTGGGGTGCAAGAGTCCCCCCCCCCTGTCATTTGATACAATCACACAATGCATTTGGAAAGGAGGGACTGAGGGAGATTCCCCCCCCCCCCAGTGGCCCCCCATAGAGGACCCCAGCCACTTTCTTGTGGACAGGGCTGTGTGTAACGTGTGCCTGCGGAAGGGCTCCAGCCCCATGTGTTGCTGCGTGGCTTAGGCTGGAAGCGTTAGTGACATGTTTGTCTTTCCAGACAGTGCACTTGGGAACCTGCACCTCTGGAGGGGAGTGTGTGTGGAGGCAGCATCCTGACACGCTTCCTCATCCATTGGAAATAAAGATACAGCAAGAGAGCCCTTTGGTCCCCCGTCCCCCCCGCTCCGTTTTAGGTTCCCCATTATTTTTTTCTTAGTTTAGCTATTCTATAAATGTATTTTATTCCTCCTTGAATCTCAGCGGCTTCATTTTTCTCCCAGGCAGTCATGATCTGGGGGGAGGAAGTGCATCCGAGTAGACAAGCAAACAAAACGTTGCCATTGACAAGGAGAGACTTATTTATTTATTTATTTTAAGCGCTCGTGAATACCAAAAAGTGTTCCCACGAAAACTCCCAAATGCTGCAAAATCTCTCGTGGGAGTTGGGTGGGCGCGGGGGGGCTAGAAGTGAATCAGTCTGTGCTTTCTCCAGAGAAGTCCGAGGTACTGTCTGTGTGTTCCTCAGTCCCGTCAACCCCTGAATGGTTTGGCTGGCCCATGTGTAATGGCAAGGGCGGCTTGTTTCTATACACAGGACATGTAGGCACACTGTCCTCTCGACTTCGTGCCCCCAGTGTAACCTAGAATAGCCCAATACCAACCAGCCTTTCTTCTGTGCGAGCCGCGTCAATACTTGGTGTGGCTGGGGCGAAGAGGTTGAGTTAATAATTCTGTGTTCCGAGCAGTGTCATAGGCTAGCATTAAGCGGGGGGGGGGGTTAGTAAGTGATAGGTGGGCAATTGTGCATGTGTGATCGGTAGTTCGGGGTATTGTCTCAGCGGGGAGAGAGGATGCAGTGTTAGCAGGGGACGATGCTACAAAATCCCATTACTAAGGGGTTTCCCCCATTATTTGTCTAGCTCTTAACATTTCAGTGGCGAGATGATTCGGTTTGATAGCTGGTAGCTGAGTTCTGGGAGATGGGCTCTGCTCTCCTTCGCTGGACAGCCCCATTGATACTCATGTCTCTGAAAGTTAAGTCAAATGACCTACTTCTGCAGCTGAAAGCCTGCTGCCTCAAAGAGAATCGGTGCCCTCTTCAGAACAGAGGGGTTTTTTTTTTTTTTCAAACACAGAGATTTTAGCCCTTTTATAAAATAATGTACCTCCGCTGCTGTCCTTGGCCAATTTCCCATTCACTCTGAGTGCAATAGCATAGTTAAGAGCGGTTCAGGGAGCCGAACGAAATAGCTTTGATTTTGGAAAAACGGTTCAGCTAAAGAGTAACTAAAATGTACAATTTCTCTTGTGAAATGGCTTGTATAGCAAAATACAGCACTTCACTCAACTCGCCTAACCATCTCTGCTGTGCTCGTTGCAGGAAGATAAAGTAACCCAATTTACTCTTCACTGCCTTTATATCTTTATTGGAGGTAATTATTTGTGGAGTTTCCCCCTGGCTTATAACAAGTTTGTGCAGTGGGAACAGGTAACAGATGCTGTTTAGAATCCGCACAGAATCCACAAACATGATAGGAACAGCTTCTCCCGGTGCTTTTCATCACACCCTGTGTTACTTGTCCTGTTAACCCTCAACTCTCCCCTGCTCCTCAGCAGAACAACCTGAACTCCCCCCCTCCCCCTCCTGTGGTTAGATACCAGGAGGAAAAAACCAATAGATTCTGACCACTGTATGCCTGGGTATATGTGACAGTGGAGAAGAGATGACTTCAACTGTCCTGCTCTTTAACTCTCTCCAGCAAATCGCACTGGTATGTGACAAACTGGCTTGCAAAGCAGCTAAATGGAAATGACATTGGGAGCTGTTTGTGGGGTGTTTCAGGAAACCATGTGACTCCCATGCTGTGCATGAGGGCTCCCATTGACTGGCCCCTCAGAGCCTCAGCGCTTCCAGGCCGGCGGTGGAAACTCCGTGCAGTTGAAGCGTGGAGCAAGTCGTGAAGGAATGACTCAGTGGCTTGGGTGGATTTTAGCACTGGTGTTCTCAGGTGATAGGTGAATCTTTCCACTGAGGCTGCTTGGGAGATAAGGGCTGGGTGCTGCAGGGTACGTGTGGAGGGAAGATTTTAGGGGAAATGCCAGGCCTGCTTTTTGGTGCCAATATGATGCATGCCAAAGGTTGCCAGGTCTTCTCGAAGTATCTTTGTTCGGGGAGGCCTGGTTTAGCGGGTAAAGGTAAAATCCATCACAGGCAGGAAAATTACACACATCCACCCCCATGCTTCAGTCCAAATGCTGCACTGATCAAGTTGTTTTAATTGGCCCTGTGCAGCTCAAACAATAAAAATGTAACGGGGTAGCGGTGGAGAATGTCTCCTCTTCTCATACTTGTTCTAGTGATCCCTTGCTATGAGGAGCAGCAAGCTCTGTGCCCATCCACCCCGCTCCCATTCCAGCCCTGAGGCTTTTTTTTTTTTAAGCACATGAAAAATTTGCTTCCTTCCTCTGTCTCTGGAATTCTTAAGAGGGGGGGAAAAATTGAGAGTGATGAGCCTGTGGTGCTCCTGAGACGGCCCCTTTCACATTTCTAAACACTCTTGATTATTCAGCTAATCTTTATTTCATGGGCCTGTTACAAGAAACACACAAACCAGGGGGTGGGGGGGAGAGAAAGTGGAAGGCGGTGAGATGTTTAAAATACACAAGAAAGGAGCTGGCAGCAATATAATCGTTGTTCTTATGCCGGTGCTATGAAATATTTATGGGTCTAAGTTGTGGCAAGATTTTCTCCCTGCTTCGCCCCACCCCCACCCTAGCCCTTCTCAAATGGTTTCCCGTGGTAAAATAATCATTAAAAATCAGGTGCAAGGGGCCTGATGGCTGTTTCTAGCCTATCTCCCTCCTTACCCAGCTGTCTCCTGGTAGAGTCGCACACAGCTGTCTGTACACACAGCCTGGGGGGCACAATGTACTTCTGTCCATCACTACCAATGAGAGAGCCAGGGACTGCTAGCCAAGCTACCCAAATCATAAAGAGACCGGAGCATTGTGTTACAGTCTGTTAACTAGAAATAATTCCGAATCATCCCTTTGAGCTGCTTGCATTTTATAGTTGTAGTCCGCTTCCCCTTTGGGCATTCTGCTATTAATTCATTAGATCTGAATTTTCTAATTTTTTCCCCTTTTTCCCCCCCATCTCTCTCTGTCTCCCCTGTAATTCAAACAGTGATGAATGGACAAAAATCCCTCAAGGGAAACATTTTTTCACTTACTTATAAAGATTTCATGGCTAATTAAAGTAAATGTGGTTTTTAGAGTGTTAATCTCTTAACCAGCTTGGCTAGGAGGACAACAAAGGACAAGAGGGGAAGTGGGGGGAAGGTACTATCAAGTTTTTTTTCCCTAGGATTTGGCCACAGTCTTGATGACTGGATCCCTGGTGCCTTTATGATTATGGTCAAGAGCATCCTACACGTGACCCGAGTATGTCCACTTACTCCTTGGCTTCTTAGAGCTATGCGTCTTCCCCCTGCTGCCCTCTTTGCCTCCATAAGATCTAACCTCAGTTGCCTGCAAGACTAAAAGGCATTCTGGGCTGAGGCAGTGGAAAGTTCTTTGTCTGTGAAGAGTAGTTTGTTAGAAAGCTTCAAGGATATAGAAGAGAAATTGGGAACACAAGAAGAATCCAGGCAATGTATTGGCCTGGGAAAGTGGAGGCTGCTGCTGCCTAAAAGGATTTTATATTCATATTCTTTCTCTTTAGCTAAAGGAAAAATGTATATTTATTGGGGTGTTTTGAAGAGAAGGGCATGTGGCAGGGATGCTGTCCCCAAGCATTCTGCTGCGGTAGCCTGTAGCAAGGCTGCTGCTGCATGCTAACTCCTTACACCACCCCAATTTTTTTCCAGAATTGGGAATTGGGTTTGTTAAGGAATTAGATCTATGGTAGAAGGCTGAATTGAGCAGGTCAAACTTATGTCACTTGTGACTTGAGCCTTGTTCTCAAATCCAGGCTTCTGGGGGTTAAAAACCTGCTGAAAAAGCCACCCTGCTTTTGCTTTGCAAAGGGATTTTATTGTCCGTTTAGTTCTGGGTTATTTTTAAAAGATCTTTATCTAACAAACTGAGAATGAAAGTTGTGCTCTCCCGCTCCATCATTTCACTCTCGTTTCCACTCGTCTCCTCCCCTCCCTACACCAGGATTCATCGTTCATATCCACCTTTGGCCTAAGCAGTTTGGAAACTGCTCAGGCCAAACAGCAGAGCAGTAACAATTCATGAGCTAGTCAAAGTAATGCATCCCCAGGCTGGGCTGTGAGTCTGAGTGGGACTGAATTTTCTATGATACAGTTATTGCTCGAAGAGCGAATGAGACTGGGTTGTGGGCCACCTGAAATACCATCTCACTCCACTAGAGGGGGGCTCCTGCAGTTCAGGCTAAAAGGTACTAAATTAATGGAGATATCCCATCTCCTAGAACTGGAAGGGACCTTGGGTCATCGAGTCCAGCCCCCTGCCTTCACTAGCAGGACCAAGTACTGATTTTGCCCCAGATCCCCAAGTGGCCCCCTCAAGGATTGAACTCACAACCCTGGGTTTAGCAGGCCAATGCTCAAACCACTGAGCTATCTCTCCCTGCTTTTGTGGGAGTTTAAAAAAGGATGGGGGGGCAGCCAGCAGAGCTGTCACCGAATGTAACTTGGGAAGGCACTAAAACTGGCCATCTCATCACTTGAGTGCCACTGGTCCCTTATGGTGAAAGGAGACACGAAGACGAGCAGCACTTGC